AAAAGAGTTTGTGCTTGGGTTTGTTAATAATTTTTTCGTCAAACCAGACTTTCCTCAGATTTTTATGATGCAATAATTTTTCCTCTTAATAAGAAGGGAAGCATGGAAAGTTCAGAAAGTTATCGTGGTATTGCCTTCGTAAATAAATATCCAAACTCACTGCGGCATTACTTGACCAGACTTAACTCGTAGGTACAAAATAATAACATTGAGTTCCAGGCAGGATATAGAACCGACTATTCAAAATGAAAATTACTTCGCCATTACAGATACCTGGTTTCAACTTCCAGAAAGGCGTCTTTACACGTGGAAATCCCCTCAAGATGGACATCAAGGCAGAATAGTACGGAATCAAATAGACTACATCCTAATAAACCACCGATTTCGAAACAATATTAAAGATGTAAAAACTTACCCCGGCGCTGACATAAACTCAAATCACAATTTACTCTGCTCCAAAATACAAATTAAATTAAAGAAATTAACAAAGCCAACTAAGCCTTGTAAGATATATCTCGACCCACTGAAAAACCCTCAAACGCGCGAACACATATCACAGCAGATAAATAGTAAAATACACAGAATATCAAATATACCAAACGAAAACAGAACCATTAACGAATGCTGGTATGATATTCAAAACTCGATTTTAGAGAACGTACAAGAGTCTTTGAAAACACCTACCATGTTGGCAAAAAATGAGTGGATGACACAAGAAATTCTAGACCTGATGGAAGTTCGACGGCAACACAAAAATAGAAATATTATCGAATACCGTGAAATCAATAAACGCATAAAAAGAAAAATTAAGCAAGCCAAAGAATCCTGGCTTGAGAATTTATGTAAATAAATAGAAGACCTCCAAAAAAAAGCATGACCGTTTCAACCTCCACAAGAAACTGAAATATACTGCCGGAATTAGAAAACAGAAAAATGCTCACATACTTAAAAGCGCTGTCGGAAAAATTTGTGATCACGAACAACAGTGCAAAGAATGGGAGAGATACATCACTGACCTTTTTGACGATGCTTTTAGAGAAAATGCTCCAAAAACTGCCTGTGACAACCAGTTAACGATCAGATCGCAGAAGTACCACAAACCTGAGTACTAAACTGAGAGGAAGCAGCTAACACTCACAACAACGAAAATACGATGATTGGTTAGAGTCACTGTTTATAACATTACCAAAGAAAAGCAGGCCCACCAAATGCAGCGATTTTAGACTAATCAGTTTGATGAGTCACACACTGAAGATACTCTTACGAATTATACAAAACCGAGTATTCTTCTATGCGAAAGTAGGATGGGTGATAAGCAATTTGGATTTAGAAACGGTCTAGGAACTAGAGAGGCACTATTCTGTATGCGCGTTCTATTACAAAAAAGTTGTGAATTCCGAAAGAATGTTTATGTTTGTTTCATCGACTCGAGAAGGCGTTCGACAGAGTACAACACGATACACTTTTCGATTGCCTACGGGCAGCAGGACTTGACCACTATGATATAAGACTGCTGAAATACTTATATTACAATTAAGTAGCCTTATCCAAATTGGAGACAGTCCGACTGAAAAAACTATCCATCAAACGTGGAGTACGGCAGGGTTGTGTTTTGTCACCCACTCTTTTTTAATCTGTACTCTGAAGAAATCTTTAGGGAGGCTTTGGATGACAGACAAGAGGGAGTAAGACTAGGTGGAGAAGTAATCAACAATATTAGATACGCTGACGATACAGCCATTCTTGCAGAAAATTTACAAGATCTCCAAACATTACTAAATCTAGTCAGTGAAGCAAGTTATCGGAGAGGCCTTAAAATCAACATTTCAAAGACAAAGTGGATGGCAGTTGGAAAGATCAATATAGATCAAGGTCTGATTTCTTTTAATGGAGAAGAGATCGAAAGGGTAAATCATTTCAAATACCTTGGCAGCTGGTTAAATGTAAATTGTGACTCTGATGAAGAGATAATAACCAGGATCGAAATATCACGTAAGGCTTTTATGACCTGGAAACCAGTTTTATGCAACAGAAACCTGTCGATGAATATTCGTAAGAAGGTCCTGAAATGTTATGTGTGGTCCATCCTATTGTATGGTTGTGAGACATGGACGTTAAAAACCACAATGCTAAACAAGTTAGAAGCATTCGAATTGTGGTGCTATAGACGAATCCTAAAGATATCGTGGGTTTCGCACACTTCCAATGAAGATGTTTTTCAAATGATCAATTCAGAACGTCTGCTCATAAACACCATAAAGAGGAGAAAAACAGAATACTTCGGCCATATAATTAGAGGACCTAAATACCATCTACTTCGCCTTATAATACAAGGAAAAGTGGAAGGAAAGAGATGGATTGGTCGAAAGAAACTTTCATGGCTGCGTAATATTAGACAATGGTGTGGTTCCACAGTAGAAGAATTATTTCGCGCAGCAGCCGACAGAGAAAGGTTTCAGGAAATTGTAAACATGATGACGGCCAACGTCTGAATACGGAAACGGCACCCAAAGAAGAAGAAGATTCAACTATAGACAACATTTTTAATTTTACGAGTATAGTAAAAATCCAACATACACGGGGAGTAAAAACTGTTTATATACATTTTTTGTGGATTTTAGTACTGCTTTTGATACAGTTGATCGGAAGCGCTTTTTTACAAGTTGAGTCACTTGGGATTATCTACTAAAGTACTCAATTAAAAAAAAAGTATGTTCGCGAATACAAAATCGATAGTCTTGTCAAATGACGGTCTATCTCGGTGTTTGACGGTGTCAAATGGTTTGATAGTAATATAGGAGTGAGACAGGGATGTCTTATAAGTCCATTACTGTTTTCGTTTTTCTTGAATGACCTATATAAAGCATTGAGGGGCGGCTTGGGAATAAATGGTTTGATTATAAGACTTTCATTATATGCAGATGATTTAGTTTTGATGGCAATCAATTTGAAGATGCTACAGCAGATGATTAATGAACTGGAAAAATACTGCAGGATGTGGAATCTGAAAATAAATTTAGAATAAATTCAAAATTCTTGTATTCAGAAAAGGAGGTAGTGTGATTAGGGACCTTGGAAACTAAATGATCGAGTCTTCGAGATAATGAATAACTATAATTATTTGGGAATGATAGTAACAACAAGTTGTCGATTAAAGCTCATCTAAAGAAGCGCCAGAGTTTGGCAAAAGTGGCGATTCATACGGCTTGGAGTAGTTTAGTGTCTAAGGCTAATATACCTTTCGTTAAGTAACGTCTATGAGTCGTTCGTAAGATCCATTTTAACTTACGGGGCTCAGGTATGAGATCTTTTTGAGTACAATGAGGTGGAAATAATCAGAAGATTTTATATAAAAAAAAATGTTTTCTTGTCCAAGATATTGTCCTAACTTTATGTTAGATTTGGAGACAGGTATTGGTAGAGGCAGCCTACATACAATGAATTCACATAAAAAATATATTGAAAAAATTCTAGAATATTCGAACGATTGATTGCCAAAATTTCTTTTGAAAGAAATGATTCGAGCAAGGTGTGGCTGGTGAAAAGAGTATGGGAGAAACATTTGGTATTAAGGTTAGGTGTGAATGGGAATAGGACAGGCCTAGTGTGATTGAGAGTATTGAATAGAAAAAAAGAAGGAGAAGATAAAGTGTCAAGCTGAGAATAGGAAGATCTTATAAAATTTTTGTGGACACAAAGAACTGCAGGAAGAAGGAGTAAACATACATAAACATATGATATGATGAATATATGATTTTTCTATATGTTGAGGCGTGTGAGGTAAAATGATTTAATTTGATAATATAAGCCTTTTTCTTTAATTTGGTGCTTTTAGAAATCATTTAGACCTAATAGTTTACGCATAATAACGTTGTAGATACAGGATAAACAATTTCAATTTTGCAATAACTGTTAGGTGAAACTTGTTGAAATTTTTATAGCTGAATACATGTGATATTGTCTTTGTTATCACGCGAAATTAACGTTTTTGGTACATTTTTGGAAAGTTGTTAATAATTTTCAAAAAAAATCCACTTTTTAAGCTCTTTTACAATAATTTTTCTAGTACAACGGGCCCAACACCGAAAGGTACAAATGGGTCTACTGATTAAGTAAGTTTCTAGTACAATTGTATTACTTTAAAGAATAATTTAGTGGTCTTCATATTTAGTATTTAAAATCAAATAGCGATATTACATTGTTATACATATATTGTTTATAAGTAAAAAATGACGTTTATTCTTTTGCATATTTTGTTTATTTTTATCACCAACTTTATCAAAAGCCGTTGTTAGATACTTCTATCAAACAGTGTCATGAGAAAGGCTTTTTATTTCTCTGCTCTGTGTACACAACTATTACAATACATGACAAATTTAATTACATTCTGTAAATTCAATGTAGAATAGACAACGTAAGGACAGTAGTCGAACTAACGACTTAAATCTCAAGATGAAGAAATTTCCGAAAGGGGAAACCAAAATGCTGAAAGCTATAATACATTTATTCACGGATTCTAATAGTATCCCCAAGAGACCATATTACAAATGTGGAATTTTCTAGGGTTTAATATTTTTTTTTACCTACTGGCACTTAATGCAATACCTTATTTTATTGATATATTTTATGTCTTTTCTTCTCAATTTATTAATTTTTAACATATTTTAACGTAAGGCGCAACAGTTAGTGATCAGTTAATAGATAATACACATAGATGACCATTAAATTGGGAGGCACACAATTTACAGATAACATTGATAACATTTAACACAAATATAATAATAATATTATCTTGTAACAACATATATTTTAACAGTACTGCATTATTCGTAAAGGGTTCTGAATATCTGCGGTCTTATCGCTCGAAAATTTCATTCAAAGACATTCACAATCATTTGTTCTAACTCATCATACTCTCGCTTAAACAAAGCTTCAGCGGCAAATAATATTTTCTTAAATGTGTCAAATTTTTACCGATGACTGACTCTTTTTGTAAACAATTACTGGATGCCCTCCACGTAAGCGGTATCGTCTAAAGTATGAAGCCAATTAAAGATCATCATGTTCCTCTCGTACTTCGATAATGGCTTTCCTCTTTCTCGTTCAACGTCTCTAATAGTTAAAGGCAAATTTTTCCCGGCTCTCTGCTTAGCTACTCTTAACATGGCCGCGTTTGTACTGTTGGAAGTCGTAGGACTCTTGCTGGGAGTGGGACTGGAACCTGGAACTGTCAGACGGGACGGAGCTGCTTGTGAATTGATAGGCGATGATTCAGAACCTAGGCTTGCCGTTGCTGTTGAAGGGGTTACTTCTAATCTGTCCAAGTTGAACTCACTTTGAGAAAGCCTTTCTATGGCCTTGTAGGTGGTTAGTAAGCGACGTCTTATGTAGTTTTGACGGACCTAGAAGTAAGTAAATTTATTTGAAATAAATAAACCTAATAGTTAAAAGTTTAGAGAAAATATACAAGAAGTTTTCAAAAATGTCAGAAATTTCAAAAGTTTTAGTTTACATATTTTTTTATTATTTGTAGTTATCCGCCTATAACCTGCCAACATCCAGCGGAATAATATTTAGTGTAAGTAATTTGTGTGTGCGTGTATGTAGGAAGTAAACGCTTTGGTTACTTCCACTGCTTCAAAACATTTTAAAATAATATTTGCTGACACTTTTCACGATTGATTTGTTTAGAGCAGCAAGTTCTAAAATAAAAATAGCCATTATGATTGCCAACCTCCGTAGGGAGACGCCACTCTAAGAAGAAAACACTTTTCACAGCCAAGGTCAAAAGTTTTCAAATATGGTCAAGCACTTACAAGTACAGAAATCGTAAGAGCTTTGCTTACTTTTATGACACCCCATGGATTGCCTGATTTTGTTACAATGGATCGTGGAACAGAACTAAAAAAATCTGTTGTACATTCTTTGACATACATAAAGTCAAAACTTATGTCACAACGAATAAATAGTCATATTAACACAAAGGAAATATTAGATATTGGTATAAACCAAAAATTAATTATTATTTACGTGCAGGTTTGTGAGGAATAAACTTAATCCTAAATTTTTTAAAGACAAGACCGCTGGAAAGCAATCAATTAAAGTTGCTACTCCTAAAAGACTTTTACACAAACAAAACTTAAGACGGCCCAATACTAACAAGAAAAAAATCAAGAATTCAACCTAAGCTATAACAACTGTTTTGAGTAGATAAAGTATCACTTTAACCGCAAAGGGTAGATAAAGTGACACTTTAACCGCAAGAGGAGATAAAATGTTTTAACTTTTTTTTATTCAATAAAATTTACAAATTCAAATACATTAAAAACAACTGAAATTTTACAATTAACATTATTAGAAATATCTATTTTTGGAGCATCACAACTTGTACTCGTTTGCTTAAACACTTGATTCGAGGTACTGGATTGATTTTCTGTAACATTTGTTTGACATTTGTTGACAGAGTAATTCATATCCCTAGCAACGGAGCAACACAATTGCGATTTTTGTGCTAAAAATTACAATTTTCTTTGAAATTCTATTTTTCAACTGAATTTGAAGTCTTGGGTGCAAAACAATCGACTCAAAAGCGATATTTGAGATTACAACCTTCAGTTTTAATGTAAAAAGTATAAAAATAACTAACAATAATAATAACAATAAGATGTAATGTGCAAACAGTAACTTTATTATTGAACTTACAAAATTGCCATTTCATTATTTGGAAGAAGCATTATAAAAACAATATGCAATACGAACAGAGTCTCTCAAATATTCATCATTGGAACTATCCCAAGAAAGACGTAATGCACAGAGAAATCATCAATTACAAAATGAATTTTTTCTGTTTTTCAGTATCTGATATTACCACCCCTATTCCTAATAACACTTTCCAATCGATTTGCATGGATCGAAAAACTTTTCTAATAAATTCTTGAGGCATTGCTTCCCCTTCATCATTAAGCTCAGCTCTCAATTCCATTATGCTCCTTGGTGCATGATTTCTGCTCCGGACCCTTCGCTTAAGCTCATTCCAAACATGCTCTGTTGGATTTATGTCCGGACTCAACGCCGGCAAATTTATTGTAGGTATACCGATCTAAGTCAGATAGGTGGTGGTCACTCAGCGGTATGACATCGTCCATTATCATGCAATAAAATAAATGCATTACCAATAAATCCCGCGTATCGAACCACATGTTCCTACAAAATATCTCTGATGTAACGATCCGCTGTTAAACCCCGTCCACGTCCTCCACCAGGCACGAAAACCAGCTCGGTTTTCCCATCCATGGAAATGCCTGCCCAAAACATACAAGAACCGCCTCCATATGACACAATTTCTCGTATACAACAATGAGCAAATCGTTCCCCTGGCCTTCTATAGATCCCCTCTTGTCGTTGCCATGTAGGCAGATCCTACTTTCGTCCGAGAATAATATCTGACTCCATTAATAGTCGTCTCAATCCAGACGTTTCGCGAGCAAATTCTAGTCATCTTTGCTTCTGGCTGCAGTTAGCTTGGGAACATAGCTGCCCTTTTTTGGTGTCAGGTTGGCTGCTTTTAGTCTCCTTCTGACTGTCCAAACGCTGGTAACCACACCTCGGACCTCTCTAAGCTCTTCTTTGAGATTAGTCAATGTCGATTTCTCAGAGATTTAAATACAAGAAATCGATCATCTCTCTGTTGTTATTCGTTTACGACCTCTTTATTGTCGGCGGACATAATCACCAGTATCTTGGTACCGACGATACACTCGGAACACAGCAGATTGGCTTAAATTTAGTTGATTTGCCACGGCTCTCTGGCTCAGGTCTTTTCTCAATAATGCTACTGCTTGAGCTGCTTTGACGGATGTATCCATTGGTTATGAAGTAACTTAATTGACTGACGTATTAGTGGATTGCTATGGAAATTGATGCTTACGATGTTAACCAAATTTGTTAAGTGGGTGTGTGTCGATTTCAATGGGTCAATTATAACCCCTCTCTACGTGTTGCAGTATTTATTTGTAATACGTCACCCGATTTACCAAAAATCAAAACTTTTTTCAAACTCAATAATGAGGTTATAATTGTACACTAACTTTTTGATTGAAACAGGAGACGTACTTTCGTAAAATAATTTTGAGTCGATTTTTTTGCACTCAAGTGTAATTTTTCATCAAGATGTATTTTTTCTGGTTTAGAATCCATTCCTACCAATCCTAACAAGTTTATATTTAATTTTAAAGATTTTCTTTTCTAACTAGAATTATTTTAGGTGAATTAAAAATAAATATAAGCATTATTTTATAATTATTAGTAAACATAGAAAATTCTATAATGTTTGCGAGATTAGTATTTTACATAATATTATATTAAAGAACAATCAATGAACTAATTTAAATTTAATTTTAAAATTACATCTATTTTTATTTAATTATTGAACACCGTTTTGTAGAACTAATTTATCCTAATATCACATCTAGTGTAAATAATACTAAACAGAAGCGTACTATTCTAATTTATTATTATTAATAAGAGGTCAAAAAACGGAGATAAAATATATATATATATATATATATATATATATATATATATATATATATATATATATATATAGTGTTTGCAACTTAATTTTGTCGCTTCTCGCATCCCAATCGCCATAATTTCTTATCGGCCCAGTCTCCTTCTTGAAGACCTCTATTTTCCATTTCTATATGATTATTGGATATCCATTTCTTTCTTGGCCTTCCCCTTTTATTTCTCTGTGTAGGTCTCCAGTTCCAAACATTTCGTGGAATCCTTTCTTCGTTCATCCGTCTCAGGTTTCCATACCATTTTAATTGTTTTTCGGCTATCGTATCCATTATTGTGTTCTTTACTTTCATTCTCTCTCTTATGTTTTCATTTCTTATGTGGTCAAACAAAGTTACCCGGAACATCTTCTCCAGTACATCATTTCCGTTGACAGGAGTTTTTGTGACATATTCTTGTTAAAGACCCACACTTCTGACCCATACGTCAGCACCGGCTGAATCATAGCCTGATATATATTTTTTCTTTGTTTTCTTAGTTAAAGTTTTATTCCACAGGATCGGATGTAGTGTTTTTATCATGTTTTTTCCTTTTCCTATTTTTCTTGTTATATCTTTGTCGTCTCTCCCGTCTTCGCTTAGTGTAACTCCGAGATATTCGTACTGATCAACGTTTTTAATTAATCCGCTTTCTGTTTCCATGTCTTGACCGATGCCTCCTATATTCATGTATTGTGTCTTTTCGGTATTAACCTCTAATCGCCATTTTTTGAATTCGTCTATTAGTTTGTTTATCATGTACGTCATATCCTGTAGGTCCTCGCAAGAAACTACCTGGTCGTCTGCGAAGAGGATTGTGTATATAGGAGTATCATTTACCCATATGCCCATTGGGCTGCATTTTCTCATCCAATATTTTAAAGCATTACCAAGATATATTTTAAATAGGGTTGGGGAGAGGCAAGAGCCCTGTTTGACACCCTTTGTTTGGGTGAAACCCTTGGAAATTTGGTTTCCAACCTTGATATAAGCTTGGTTATCTTGATATAGCTTTTTCACGACATTTATATATACTACATTTATACCTGCGTTTTCCAATGTTGTCCATAGTCTCTGCAGTGGTATGGAGTCAAACGCTTTACGGAGATCTATAAAAGTGGCATGAAGTTCTAGTCCTCTTGCTAATCTCTTTTCCGTTAGATGTTTGAGAGTAAATACATTGTCGACACAAGATCTCCCTGGTCGGAATCCACTTTGTTCTTCGATCTCTGTGGCTATCTTTTTCTATTCTGGCTTTCAGAACTCTTTCATACAGTTTGCCAGTGGATGACGTAATGCTGATAAAGGAACTAATAGGACCAAAACACATAGAAAAGGATACGTGAATTGACTAACTCAAAAAGCTTTATTCAGAGGAAGAACAAACGACGCTAATACCAAAACCACCAGAAATTACCACAAATGAAGAACTTAATATAAATTAGTATATTATTAGTAATATTGGTATAGGAAGTTCGGAAAATACTTAAAAACCCAAAGAACAGAAAACAGCAGGTGACAGAATAATTAACGACAATAATTAATAAAATTATAAAACACAATAAAATACGGAAAGAATGGAGAACGAGCCAACTAATTCAACTATTCAAAAAGGAGATAAAAACAGCCAGAAAACTACAGAGGTATAAACTTGTTAAATACTACGCTAAAACTTACAACTAAAATTTTACAAGTGCTAATAAATCAGAGGATAAGTTCAGCAGATGAACAACAGTGTTTTAGTAGTGGAAGATCATGTACAGATGCAATATTCGTTATAAAGCAAGATCATGTACAGATGCAATATTCGTTATAAAGCAAATTACTGAGAATCACTGCAGCGC